GACTTTGGGTTTCAAAGGGGTCTAAGGAACGGTGAGTTTACTTGTGTTACTGAGTTGCTTCATTTACCTGAATTAGTTTGTTTAGACCCCACAAAACCTGATGAAAGAGTCTGGACTCCCTTACCTAAAGGTACCGTTACTTGCGCTTCTTTTCTAAAATCCCTAAGCTTCATCTTAAATCCCCGACAGCTTCCTGTTAAAGAAGTTTGGGCAAGACCTATTCCCCCCAAAATTGCTGTTTTCTGCTGGGAAGTTTACCATGGGAAAATCAATACTTTGGAAAACTTGCAGAAAGAAACCTCTTCTTTGTCTTTCCCCGAATTGGTGTTCCCTTTGTAAGGCCCAAAGTGAGGACTGCTTCCATTTACCGATATCTTGTTCTCTTGCTGCAGAGTTATGGAATCGGAACTTTAGTTTATTTGGTTGTAGGTGGATCCAACCATCTGATGCAAGCTTGCCATTTAATCCTTCTATTTTTGGATGGCATATGAGGAGAGGTAAAATCATGTGGAAATGTCTTGGGGCAGCTACCTTATAGACTGTTTGGGAGGAAAGGAATGATAGAATATTCCTAGAAAAGGAAAGAAGCTTGGCTGAGTTGAAGGATTGTGTTTTGACAAAAGCAACCCATTGGTTGAAAACCTTGGATATGTTTGCTGATTTTTCTTTTGATGACCTATGGAGGAATTGGCCAGCAGTCGCTAATACCTCTACTAAGAGGAACAAAAGAGTTATAGAATGGAAACCTCCCCCGGAAGGTGCCATCAAACTAAACTTTGATGGGAGCAGCCAAGGTAACCCCTGGCCTTCAGGTGTAGGGGGTGTGCTGAGGGAAAAGGAAAGCACCACTGTGTCCTTATTCTTAGGGCTAGTGGGAGTGGGAGATTATACAAGGGCAGAACTACTAGCTCGTGGGGATCAATTGCTCACTCATCATCTAGAAGACAAAAAATAACTGAGATTTGGTCACCTCCATGTGCTGGATGGAAGAAATTAAATTTTGATGGCAGCTGCATGGGCAATCCCGGACCTTCGGTTATTGGTGGGGTCATCAGGGAGGAAAATGGAAATATTGTAGCTATGTTTTCAGGACCTATTCAGCATGGAGATGTGGTGAGATCAGAACTGTTGGAAGCTGTGTATGGGGTGGAGAAAGCTAAAGAATTAGGGACCGATAGATTGATTATTGAAGGTGATACCAAAATTGTTGTGGACTGGTTGAAAAGGGGGAAAGAGTAATATGGCAATTAAAGAATGAATTCAGACGTTTCAAGCAGGTTTCTAAGGATATGATAATCCAAGTAAAGTGGATTAGAAGATCTGCAAACAGTGTGGCAGATGGGCTAGCTAAACGTGGAATTAAGAGACAGTCCACGTTCTGGGATGTTCTGTAAATATTTAAAGTGGTTTTAGGCTTGATCTTTGCCCACAAATCCTTATTGTACTCCTTTTTATAATTAATAATAAATTTTTCTTGTGTTGCTGATCAAAAAAAAAAAAAAATTGGTGTAAGCCTATCCCTCCCAAAGTGCAGGCTCTTTGTGAGGAAGTGTTCCTTGGAAAGATTAACACCCGTGACTTGCTCCAGAAAAGAAGGCCAGCAAAGTGCCTTTCTCCTCTGTTTGGCTAGTGGTGAGACCCTTCCTCATTTACTAATTTCTTGCCCTTTTGTATCTTGCATTTGGGATTACTTTTCCTCACTCTTTGGCTGCAGGTGGAATCCTCCACAAGATGTGGTTAGCCTGTTTAGATCCAATGCCCTATGGCAACAGAAAAAAAGGGCAAAATGCTTATGGAGGGTAACAAGAGCAGCTGTGATTTGGACCATTTGGAAAGAAAGAAATCAAAGGATTTTCTTTGAGAAGAGCAGATCTAAGGAGGAAGTAATTGAAAAAATAAAAACCAGATATCTTCAAAGATGTTTCAACAAATATAATAAGAAAATGGAAGGAAGTGGCACAAATGGAAATGCATAAAGAAATAATCAAGATGGATTGGAAACCTCCAGGGCCAAATAAATTGAAGCTGAACTTTGACGGCAACTCCTTTGGGAACCCAGGGAGGGCTGGAATAGGTAGGGGTGCTCATGGTTCGGTTAACCGAACCGTGGGATATTTTTTCAAACCGAACCGATATGTTCGGTTTTTTAAATATCCACGGTTTGGTTTTTTGGTTTTTTTATGCCCTCAAAAAAAAAACACTAAAACCGTCGGTGGTTGCTGTCGATGCCGGACTGGTTGGTGTGGATATTGCCGCTTGTCGGAGACTCAGAGAGCCTGAAGTGAGAGCTTAAGAGCTTGTCAGAGATGCAGAGAGCAGAGGTGAGAGAGAGAGAAAAGAGAGAAACAAGGATCAGTCCTTGCTTGCCGGCAAGGTGGCAACCGTCGGTGTTGCCATGCTGGTGGTTGGTGCAGGCCACGCGGCCGTTTGGAGTAAAGAATAGGAAGAGTCGAAGAAGAAGAAGAGTGAGAAGAGTCAAAAGATTGAGAAGAGTTGAAGAAGAAGAAAGTTAGAAGATGGTCCAAAGCTTGTTCTCTCCATCTTTTTTCAGATGCCCGAAGAAGAGAGGGAAGACTATGTGGAGAAGCATTAGGGCTGTAGTGTGTTTGGTCTCTATGGGAAGAAAGAAACTCACGAATATTTTCAGATAAGGAAAGAACCATTGGAAACTTATTAGATCTAATCCTTTTAAAGGTGGCACATTGGTTGAAAACTATGGAATTGTTTTCAGATTATTCTGTGGCTGATGTGGTGAGAAATTGGAAGGAGATAGCCTCCTCTGCCCTCTGTAAGAGGACCTGTAGTCCTTCGTGGTCCCCTCCTCCTTCTAGGTTCATAAAATTGAATTTTGATGGTAGTTGTATAAGGAACCCGGGGCCTTCTGGGATTGGGGGAGTATTCAGGAATGAGGCGAGGGCTATTATTGCTATGTTCTCAGGCCCAATTGGGGAAGGAGACTCTCTTAGGGCCGAGATCCTCGCAGCCCTAGAAGGTATCCAAAGAGCAAGGGAGTTGAACATCAGATGTTTGGTTCTTGAAGGTGACTCGGAGGTGGTGATTAGGTGGCTAAAGGGGGGAGGCAGCGGATTATGGAGTTATAACAATGAGAAGAATAAATTTAACTGGCTGAGTAGGGATATTGTGGTTCATTACAACTGGGTGAAAAGGACTGCTAATTCTTTTGCTGATGGGTTAGCAAAGCAAGGGGTGGATAGGGTTTCGACTTTTTGGGCTAATTTTTTAATTTTCCTTGTATTCTTTGGAGAGGGGAGTTAAGTCTTTTTACCTCCCCTTTGTACCTAAGCTTCACATAGTTTCATATCTTTAATAAAGTTTCTTGTTATTGATCAAAAAAAAAAAGAAGAAAATTAGAAGAGAAGAAAACTGAGAGAGAGAGAGAGAAGAGAGAAGAGAGAAGAGAAAAGAGAAAAGAGTCAAAAAGTCTGACATTTGCAGTATGGGGAAAAGACCAGAAAAATAGAAAATTGATGGATGGCAGAGCTTTCAATGAATAGTTCGATTTTCAATGGAAGTCTCTGCCAACACTTTTATTCGATTTAAAAAAAATAATATATATATATATTACTCTTTGTATGAAAATTGAAAAGGCGCCAGTAGGCTAACCTGGCGCACAGGAGCTAGGCTGACAGACGCCTTTTCAGAGTGACAGACACGGGTTATTCAGTTTTAAAAAAATATAAATATAAATATAATATATATAATATACACATTAAATATATATGCATATACACCGATCGGTTCGCTTAACCGTTGGTTTTTATACAAGGTTAACCAAAACCAAACCGACCAATTTGGTTAACCAATTTTTCGGTTCAGTTTCGGTTGGTTCAGTTTTCCAGTTTTTTTTTCTCACCCCTAGGAATAGGGGGAGTTTTCAGAAATCATCATGGAGAAATTGTGGCTCTATTCTCAGAACCAATTGGGTAGTTCAGGCAGAGATAATGGCACTCTTGCAATGTTTGAAATTAGTAGTACAATTTGAAGCTAGAGAGTTGGAAGTAGAAGGGGACTCACTGTTGGTCATCTCTTGGGCTAAGCAAGTAAACTCAGCACCATGGAAGTATAGATTTGCATTCAGGGAGACTGATTTACTGGCTAAGAGATTTAACTCTACATTTGGGTGGACTAGAAGGACAGCAAATGGACTGGCAGACACTCTAGCAAAACAGGGAGCTGATAGGCCTTCTCTTTTTTGGGCTAAACTATAGCTGGATGTGTTAAAACAGAGGGTTGATGTTCCTTGTATTCTGGGACCTTTATATTGCTATACTCTGGAAAGTTCTTGTAATCTGTTTTAAATTAATAAGATCTTCTCTTTTGCTGATCACAAAAAAAAAAGTATACACCATATAGCATCTTAGCAAGCCCAGCTTTAACAAAGCAGAACTACCGAAACTTAGCTCAGGCTTGTTTAGCCAAGCAAACTTGAATTCAGGCTTCAGCATGGTTCATTTACAGCCCTATGGTTGATTATCAAGTACTTATTAATTGAAAGCTCAATTATAGAACCATCTAATTCAGATCCGGACACAAGACCAAAACAGGTGTATGTTGTTAGAGTCATTTAATCAGGGGTATAATTGTAAATTGGTTATTCATTATGTTATAAGAGTGGGCTTACATAGCTGTCCCCACTTTAAGTTTGATTGTCCATGATTAATCAGGGGCAGAATGGTCTTTTGGTGTAATAAGAAACCTATAAATAAATCTGCCTGCCAGGGGGGAGTCTACTTTTACTCTCCTCTCTTATTCTCCCACTTGTCCCTCTCTCTCTCTCTTTTTATTTTATTTTCTGCTGTTTTCTGCAAACTGAATACCATTGACATATATAGTATGGCCTGGATATGGACATACCTGGATACAACCAGAACCTAAACTGATAGCACCCTACCACTAGATGTTAACACCCTACCATGATGATGATGAAGATGATGATTTTACATTCAAGAATCAATAATATATGAGGAAGAGTCATAAACCTGGTCTGCAACAACGTCAACAAGTTCTAATTCATGGTCATGCCATGTTCTCGCACTGCCAATAGGGAGCATCAAAACCATTATCGCATAGATTTTTGCAGGGAGCTCAGGCCAATCATTAATTTGAAAATTTGAATGATGTAAAAGTGGTACCCGTACAGCAACAACCTCAGGTGGCACATATCTTCCGGCAGGTGGTCTGATTCCTGCCAGTGGGCAGTTATGTGGTATCCTTATTGCTCCTTTGCTATTAAAAACTTGATTGACTATGGGAAGGTTAATAGGAATGGTAGATCCAACAGGCATCTGGCGGTTTAAAGTGTGTGAGAGTTGCAGATTCAACCCAGTACGTGATGGCATCCAAAGTGCACATTCCTCCAAGCCTAAGGTACCACCCAGCTCAACAAGAGTAGTCCTCAATATAGTGTGTCTATCAAGTGTGCTTCTGATTTCATGAGTCAGCATTCTAACATGCCTTCCAATTTCTTCTTGTGTGAGTACAAGGGTCATCTCTCTATCAAGCTCTTCAGCCCTATTCTTCAGAAATAGCTCTCTTGTCTTAACACTCAACAGATCAGGAATAATGTGAACAAGCAACAGGGCTGTTAGACATGATACAAAAGCAGTAGAAATTTTTGCAACTGTCATCACCACTGCAACAGTTTTAGAATGCATTGTAAAAGTCCACAAGTTTATGAGGTGGGTTGCTCCGCAAAGAACAATAAATGCACCAAACTGCATTAGTACCCATCTGTATGGGAAGAATGCAGATTTCTGTACAAAATAAATAAGTTCAAGAGGAATGGAGAAATAGGCAAGGGCGATAAAAAAGTCCGATAAATACTGATATTTCATCAAAAGCTCGTCAGCAGGCCACTGTGTCTCAATGCAGTCACAAGACTCCATATTCTAGCAACCGGCCCTGATATGTTGCCCTTACATTCCTGAGAGTACCAGAGAAATAAGGTAGTCAGGATGATCCATGCAGAGACAATTAAAATTTAAAAGTATACATCATCATTCATTTTTTTTCTTTTTTGCCATCAATAACAATCCAAGAGAATTTCAGTAATGGCAAGAAAGAAAAATCGCTGTACCACAATGTACCAACAGGGAACAAGTATAGTCAATGTCAACACATAAACTACAAAGATGGCTAACAAATGTTACAACTGAGAAAGAAAATACTCCATCTATTGCTGGCCCCTGCACCTAGAATCCAATCCCCACCTCAGCTTCTGTCTTACTATTCTACCTAAAGTATCAGCTAGAAAATTAGCTAACCAGGGGATCCATCTGAACAAGCTGTTCAACAGACCAGCTAAGCCTTTGACTTCTCTCACAAAGAATCTGAAGACCAAGGAACCTCCCCCTCAATTTCCCACCTTATAACAACTTGACAGTCACCCTTGATCATTCATTATTTGTTTGATATCAGAATTGTCATTTTTTATCAGTACATCAGAATTGCCATTTCACTTGTTTGATGGAGTATTGTTTGATGCAAAGAACAAAAGCAGGAAAAATCCATCAAAAAACTACAAATGTGGGGAATTTATCAGTATGGCCAACAATCTTTTTAGAGGCCACACAAACACCCATTCAGATTCCTCTTCATACGAAGATTTCATCATTTTAGAGTATCTTTTTGAGTTAATGGAGTGGTAGCACTTTCTTTTTATGTGTCAAAAGTGTTTTAAGTTGTTAGTTTTCATGTTAGAATGCAGTTTTTTTAGTTTCTTAAAAAGTTGTAATAGTTTTAGGAAGTTTCTAGTAGGAAAGTTTAAATAGTTGTCAAGGTCATGCCTAGGTGGGCACCTAGGCAACAAGGCGCCCTTGGAGGTTCACCTCGCCTAATCACCAAATAGTTTTGTACTTTCTATTATAAAATACTTTTTTATTCTTTATTTTTTGAGATTATAATTATAAAATAGACATTATTAAACTAAAATATTCATTTCGTGTGCTTATATACTAATTTATTTTTTATTGTTTTCTTATTTGTTATGTTTAATCAACACAAGCATTGCTCTTTTCTTTTCTTCTACTTTCTCTTCCATACCTTCTACTTTTTCTTTTCTTCTTTTCCTATAACAAAAATAAGGGTTCAGACCCTATATTTTTTCAATTTTCTTTCTTTCTTCTTTTTCTTCTCATGAATATGTTGACTTTCTATACTTTACCATACCATGAACTTTATACTTTTCCTATGGAAATTATGAATAATTATTAAGGAAATATGGTTATGATACCTAGAAAATTACCCTAGGACCTATGTTTCTTACATAAAAAAATCCATCGCCTAGGCAACAAGGCACCCGGCCTAGAGGTGTAAATCGGGCCTGGCCACCCACGGCCCAGCACGGCACGGCACGGCACGACAGCCCACAGGCCGTGCCAAGCCTGGCATGCTGGTCCGTGCCGTGCTGAGCCTAGGGTTTTAAGTCCACAGGCCGGCACGGCACAACACGACACAATCAAGCGGGCCGTGCTATACTATTTATATTATATTATATATATAATATAATTATATAATATATTAATAAAATAAACACTTTTTTTTCAATTTTATTATACTAATTTATTTAATTATTGTATATATAAACAATTGTATACATCAAAATTCATATAAAATTAAAATTTTAAGTTTTTTTTCAATTTTTTAAATAAATAGGCAAAAATAGCTTTGCCCGGTCGATGGCCCGACTTGGGCCAAACCATGCCGTGCTAGCTCGGCACGGCCCACTTTACACCTCTAGGCACCCCCCTGTCGCCTAGCCTTGCCTTGGCGCCATGAAAACTATGATTCTAGCTATTAAGTAATTCTGGGTCTGTTTTTGTAGGGAGGTTTCTTTTATTTGCTGCTCTTTGGCTTATATGTTATTAACTTGTAAAGAGCTGTACGTCTCATGGCCTTTTTCGTAATAGAGCAGATCTATCCATTGATTTTGGCATTTAATCAAAGGTGGCTTCCTTACAGGATCAATATCATCACTAACTGCATAGCATCTGTTTCCAAATCAAAAGCTAGTGTGACTCTTTTTCACCCCAAATTGCTTTCCTCTTTAAATATCTTCCTTTTGAACAATCTCAGTATTTATCATGTTGTTTTTCACTTACCAGTTTCCACATTGAAGATCAATTGAACAAGTGGGAAACAACATGAGAGAAACAAAGTGTCAGATCTCTCTCTCTCTCTCTCTTAATGCCTAACCCAACTCAGAAATTAAAGTATTTGCATTTTCTGGGGAAATAGAACAAATACTGGAATTGGACAACCACTCACTAGTTGGTATGGTTGGCCAGAGGAGGGGAGATAAGAACCCCAGATAGTCTTTCCTTCCCTCATTTCCTGTACGGAGAAATAGATACGTAATGGGTTGAGGTCCAGTGCATCAATCATAGTAGTTTAAGTCCATAAGCTGTGTCCACTCAACAACTGCCATAGCTCTCAAAGAAAAGGTAAAATAACAATGGACATGAGGGATTTCATCTCTTCACGGATTAAGTGAAATAAATCAAAAAAGGCATTTCATACGGTTAAATACTTTTTAGGTGCACACACACTCTTATAGCTGCCGCAAGTATCTCTCAGAGGAAGTAGAACAAATTAAGGTAACCTTGTCGAGAATAGACACCTCACCAAAAGGGAATAATCAGTTACTTGCAGAGTGGGAGAGTAGGTTAGTCCCTCTAACCAGAAAAGACTATCTTGACTAGACTAGAAGAAAGACTAGCTTTCCCTTCGGTTCGGTCTCTCGTAGGCATCTCTGGTGGGCAGGTGTATGTGTATATAACATTATAACTATCCTTCCCTTCCACCCTCCCCCTCAGAAGGTTAAGTAACTTTCACCATAATATAACACCATTTTATGAAATACTTTCTACTACTTCACAGTGTCTTGCCTCTCGTTTTATCCATCATATATTAGAAACGCCTAGTGGAACCGCACCAGCAGCCTGTGTACTGAACATCAACCAGTGGGGAAATACAAGCCTGAGACCAGAGTCAAGAGGTAAGAGATAGAGATCCCCTGACAAGTAATACTACTTTTTCTTGTGTAATTTAATGTTTTAACGACTTCTTCGAAATTTTTTGTGGTGATCTCATGGGGTTTGAAGATCAAAAGAAGCAAATTATTAGTGGAGTGTAATGTTGATTTATAGGCCAGCTTAAAAACACAACCGTTTTACATATTAAAAGAGGAAAAAGGAAAAGAGGCTTAGCCCCAGTAAGCGTCATCATCTACTCGAACCTGACATAATCAAAATCTAATAAAACTACAAAAAAAAAAAACACAAAATAGGAAAAAAACAAAGATATGAAAGAACAGAAGTGTCAAGACACAACATGTTTACAATTCTAATGATGAGAAACTATACGAACTTGAATTGCATTACACAAACTTGAATTTGTCTGTAAAATCGGGGAGAGGAGAACTAATTAAAGGGCTTACCGAATTAGAGAAGAACTAGAGGAGAAGGAACGAATGCCAGTATCAAATCGAAAAGACCGAAGAACTCCCATGGTGCCTGCTGAGGAAAGGATAGTCATAGTATCACGGACAGCAACCTACACGCGCACAGTAGTAATGGCGCACGTGGTAAACAGCTGTTGCAAGCCCAACTGCAATCTAAAACGCCACTCTCACGTGTGGATCAGTCATTTCCAGTTCCACTCTAGGGTTAAGGGTTCCACTCTTCCAAATTGGCTGAGACCCAAAGAAAAACCTTGAGAATCTGGTCGGTTGACAACTGACGAGACGATTATTACCATCCCATTCCCAAGTGGTGATTGGTGAAGTGAAGTCAGAACAAGATGAACCTGGCAGAGCCCAGAAGTGGCACTTTGTCACGGTCTGAGTCTTCTTTATGTTTGGCATGTTTATGTTAAGGGACATCATCGTCATTTTTGCCTATAAGATTTTTGGGAAAAGTGATGTTATCTTCAGATAGACCTCCAAAAGCTTAACGTACCTTTTGAGGAGGGGTGGTCGACCTCCTTGGGTGCCTAACCTTGGCACTCTTAGACCATCATCCCTTGCGGGGCATCCCTAGTTAATGGCTAGCATGGCTACCAGAGTTCCTCATGGGTGCACACATGCTCATGGAGACCGTGCATGGACTGGCACTGCGCTGCCGACACTCAAGGGAGGCTTGGCATGCGGACCTGGCTCAAGCATGACCCTTCACCACGCCAAATCCTTGCCTAAGCTGAATGAGCTATCCTATTGCCCAGAGCGCACGGATGTGTTCCGGCCCAACGGTTTCCTTTCATCATGGCACACAGGTGCCCACATCATTGGCATACAGGAGACCCATCACATCGGCGCCCAGTCGCCTCTCATCATGGCCTTCCCCCTTTAGCACATAAGTGGCACCTCCCATGGACCGGTCAAAGCCAGCCGAGAGCCCCGGCCATGCGACTTGAGGTCATGATCCAGTGCTACTAAATTTGGTGGAGCCATCTCATCGGGCAACTCCTAGCCTCCAAGCACACTTAAGACTTGTCCCGGCCTACCTTGGCCTGAACGTCGCACAAGTTTCTTCCACTGTAGAACTATCCCCTTAACAGTTGGTATCAAAGCGAGCTAGGCAACTATTGCTGCAATTGGTATCAAAGCGGATTAGCCCAGAGCCAGTTGAAACGGTCATCTCGATAAGCAACACATTGTGGGGTGCGGTCCCTAGGCACTTCCACTTGGGTTCAAGCAAGCATTCACATCAGGTCTGGCAAGAGGCCATTCATTCGTGTCCCCATTCCAATGACCCCAAAACAGCACCCTCGCGGGGGTAGACGCATTTGGTTGTTGTACTCATGCAGGGGTAAGCGCATGAGCCTTTTTGTGGAAGGCATATTGTGGTGGTTTGATTGGGGGAGTGCCATGCTTCCTCACGGACATCAGTTGTTGTTCATTTCGATGAGGTGTTGGGCGGTGCGCCTACATCTTGGTTTCATGATAGATGAGCCATTGTTCCGTAGCTTTGTCTGAGACACTACTAAGGCGGGGACAATAGTCCAAAATTGGTTGGTGTCGACGGTTGGTCAAGGAATATCATTGAAGTGACAGTTTTGCACAAAATGGGTCCTTGATTGAAGCCACAATATTGGAATGATAGGAATGTGGGTACACTATTCGTTGTAGCATGGCGGCCCTACACTGGCAATGCATCGGAGGACATGCTTAGCATTCAACAAGCCGGAACACTTGCAGCAGCAACAACACATCACAAGGCGAGTGCATGTTCGTCAACATCATGGGCAAAAGTTGCCACACTCGCACACATTGTGGTCAGATCCTTGAGGCATCAACACATTGGGGCCCCCTCGGAGCAAAGAAGTAGCCCAAGTCGGCGAGGCGAAGTGTAGTTTCGAGGGCCAAGAGAGCATAAGCCATGGACTAGGTTTGAGTAACCCGCACAAGGTGAGGTGAAGTCTGCAGGCCAGCATGGTGAAAGGGTACCCAGGACACACGCCAACAGCAGGAGTAGACCTATCACACTGTGTTCGGTAGCACCACCGAAAAGCTATGAAGAAGACGGTCAAGCCTTGAGGTAAAGATGATACATGGGGCGGACCTCCGCGAAGCACACACATCCAATTTCTTCGAGGGCCCTTCTCACACACTTTCAACAGCATAGCCATTGCATGGTTTGAGTAACATCAACACAGGGGCTGAAGTCCAGGCAGGCCGGCATGGTGAAATGGTTCCATCCCCATAAATGGACACCAACATAGACGAGACCCGGGTTGGCCAGGCGAGCCCAGGAACTGGCACACAAGTGGATGGCGCGAGACACAGACGCCCATTCACAAGAAGGACCATTGTCGAGGACGACAATGGATTGAGTGGGGGAACTTGCCATAGTGTAACACAAGCTTAGCCTTGCCTACGCTTGGCGGGCTTACGTTAAGGGACACCACCGTCATTTTCGCCTATAAGATTTTTGGGAAAAGTGATGTAATCTTCCGGTAGACCTCCAAAAGCTTAACGTACTCTTTGAGGAGGGGTGGTCGACCTCCTTGGGTGCCTAACCTTGGCACTCCTAGACCATCATCCCTTGCGGGGCAACCCTGGTTAATGGCTAGCATGGCTACCGGGGTTCCTCATGGGTGCACACATGCTCATGGGGATGGTGCATGGACCGATACTACGCTGCTGACACTCAAGGGAGGCTTGGCATGCGGGTCTGGCTCAAGCATGACCCTTCACCACGCCAGCCCCTTGCCTAAGTTGAATGAGCTATCCCGTTGCCCATAGCGCACGGGTGTGTTTCGGCCCAGCGGTTGCCTTTCATCATGGCACATAGGTGCCCACATCATCGGCATACAGGAGACCCATCACATTGGCACCCAGTCGCCTCACATTGGCGCACAGTTGCCTCTCATCGGCGCCCAGTCACCTCTCATCATGGCTTTCCCCCTTTAGCACGTAAGTGGCGCCTCCCATGGATCGGTCAGAGCCAGCCGAGAACCCCGGCCATGCGACTTGAGGTCATGATCTAGTGTTACTAAACTTGGTGGAGCCATCTCATCGGGCAACTCCTAGCCTCCAAGCACACTTAAGGCTGTCCTGGTCTACCTTGGCCTAGACGCCGCATGGGTTTCTTCCGCTGTAGAACTATCCCCGTGACAACTTGGCAACCACTGTCTCAACTCCCAACCCATTCAACTTTTTCTTGATCATGGACTGAACTGGGAAAATTCAAAATTCTCGAGGCAATCACAATCAGCCCGGGGCCCCAACCTTCCATTCACATTTGACCACGTATTCTAGTTCTAAGCCTTCTAGCTTGGTCTGTCTCTTTGCTTTTTGGATTTTTTTGCTGAAAAGTGAAAAGTGAGAAGTGAAAACCTTACAAGTGCATATTTTGAGTTTTTTTTTTTCTTTTTGAGAAATTGTTTAAAATTTACCATGAGTTTTCAGCATTTCTTTTAAATTCATCATAAATTTTCAAAATGTCTAAAACTCAATATGTTATTACTTTGACCTTAAATAGACTAACAAGTGTTAATATATTACCATTTTAACCTTTATAGAAAAATATAAAATATATTTAAACTAAATTAACTAGTGTTAATATATTACCATTTTAATATTTAGACATGAAAAAGGAAAAGTTCAAAAAAAAAATATTTTCAAATATAAAATACATAAAAATATAAAAATTACAAAAAATATAAAAAAACTATAGAAATCACAAACAAAATAAAAAATTGTTTCCAAATTATAGAAACTATAGGAATTGAAAAGCAAAACCAGAAAATAAAAATTGTAGAAAAAACACAAAAGAAATTATAGAAAAACACATAAATTGTAAATAAATAACAAAAATACAGGAAACTTTATAGATTGTAGAAAAAGAAAAATGTAAAAAACAGAAATTATAAAAAACATTGAAAATTATAATAAAACACTAAAAATGCAAAAAAAAAAAGAAAAATTGAAAACTGAAAAAGACCATTTTCTTTTAACTCACCATTCAAGGGTAATTTGGTCATGAAAATTGTTATTTATGCTGACATGGGCACCTCTGTTAAGAAACATTAACGGTACACTAAGGGAACGTGAGTTTTGGAAAATAAAAACTTATTGATATGGTAAATTTTAGACATTTTAAAAAATTGTTTGAGTTTTAGAGATGTTGAAAACTCATGGTGAGTTTAAGACAATTTCCATTTTTTTTAATATCTTTTTCTCCTAAATCGATACGAATCTCTTTTTGTTTTTTGCTAATGCAATTGCAATACAAATCTTCTATTGACATATATTCAATTTTGTAATTAAATAAACGCAATATTGGTGATATTTATTTGAACAGTTTTAATCAAATCACTATTCACCAGCGAAAAAGATCAAAAGAACGGTACAGATAGCCCTTTCAGCCGGTTTCAGCATCAAATCTATACGGAAAAGCATGTTTCTCTCTGAATTGATGGGATTTTAAAGCCCAAAATTGTTAAGATTTGATAGGCAAGAGAGACAAAAAAAAGTTTGGCCCATGCTTGACTGTGAACGTGTGATGTCCAATTGCCCATGGGCCATGGCATGGCATGGATGGTGATTGGGTGAGCAGTCAACGTCGTTGTCAGCCTTAGAGAAAATGGTTCATCCCCCATTCCCGCTTTTTCGAGACAAACATGTTACAAGCATCTGATATGATGGAGGTCATCGTCCATCATCCGTGTTTCATCGTGCAATTGCAAGCAATTTTGTACTGGGCAAATTTGGATTGATTTGGTTTGGATTGGTAATTTTGGGATTTTACATCACAGTTTTAGGAAGAATGATCAGGATCAGAATTTGTAGGCTCAAAGCACTATTGGGGTAGGTGTCAACTCGGAATTGATGCCAATTTATAGGCGAGCATCAGTGCATAGAGTATGGATTGTTGACCTTTTGAGTATTTATAATTTTGCAATGGAAATCAGAAATTTGCATTGGATAAATCGGTAGTTCTCCGTTGTGTTTAAGCTAAGGTTTATGTTTATTGTTTTGGATGTTGTTCTTGGGTTGGACTTTAATCCGACCCAGTTCATATCAAAAGGGATTAAGAGAAGTTTTATAGGGATAGAAGATGTTACAAGCATTAACCATTTTAGAGAAAGGTTTTAAGGGTCTGTTTGGTTTGTGGGAATAAGGATTCAATTCCAACTGTTTGATTGGATGGAATCGAAATCTCATTTGATTATTTTCATTGTGGTAGAATGACATTTCCCTATATGAGAGAATGGCATTCCCTCTCCTCCCCTATGAATAAGAATCCATTCCAACCAATTTTGATTCTATTCTGATTCTAGACTGAACCAAACAGCCAAAGAAAATAGACTATTCTTATTCCAACTGTAAACCAAACGGACCTAAGAATTATCTCATCAATCATCATAGAGAATAACGATATTGTTAAAGAAAATTAAGAACATTGAGATTTTTATCGTGGCTTCTTATATTTTAATAATTTAATTTAAAAATAAATATTCACATGCGTGAAAAACAAGAGAAGGGTCCTTATGAAATAGAAACCCCATAAAGACATTGAAAACATTAATCAGGAAAATGTATGAATTTCATAGGAAACAAATATTAATCTCAATAGTACTTTAAAAATATTAGTTTCAATGATTAATCTTCCTTTGTTTCTTATTTTAATTTTTTTGGTTAATCAAGAATGAATTGGCCTAAATTGATCAATCATATCTAAGCTTTGTCACAAGTAATATGCGGTCTGCCACATGAACACTGTTTTGCCATTTTATTCTGTTCAGTCTCTATCAACTGATATCGTAAATCATGGATGCCCCAGTATTCTTCTTTTCTCCTTGCGCTAGAGGGAATCTACTCGTTAGTAGATTGACCGTTTCACGTGAAAGCAATTCAATCGTGCTTTCGGTGCATGATACACACATGTCCACAATTATTTATTGCATGGCATAACACGTATTTCTCTGTCTCCCTCCTCTCTAAACTCTTCCCCTCTCTTCCTTTTCCCCACTCTCTCCGTCTTTCTCTCTCCCGTGTACATCTCCGTCTCACTCACTCTCTCTCGCTCTTCCTCCCTTATTCTTAACTCTCCCGTGAACAATCTCCTCTCACTCCCCCTTTTCTCTCTTTTCCTCGATAATTTATTGTCTGGTTTTTCTCTATTTCCCTATGTCTCTCCCTATCAAGACAACATCGCCTAGAGCTTTATGCTTCGATGAGATAAGTTTCTGTAAATCTTAACCCTAAATGCTAACATTTTTGCCTTTCTCTCTCATCTCTCTCGTCTCTCTTCCATATGCATGTCTCTCTTTCTACCTCTTGTGTCTCTTTCACTTCCTCGCTCTTTTCCCCCTCCTCCCTCTGTCTTGACTTCTTTCCCCCCTCATCCGTCTCTACTTCTCTGTTATTTATTTATTTTTGTTTATAGGTTTTCCTCTTTTCTGGTTTTGTGTGCCTTGGTCTCCGTGGTGGTGGCAGTGGAGGCGGTGGCATTGTCAATGGGACTTCTAAGTTTGGCCTCTTTGGATGGTCGACGAAACCGTTTACATGGGGAAATCGGATTTGCTCCTCAATACGCCTCACATTGACGGAACCGTTTACTCTGTCTCCATCTACTCGATCGTTTAATTAAGAGAGTAAATTTGAAAGAGAGGGAAAGAGACAGCGAGTTGGTGGTTCCCAAGCCGAGTGAGTTCTGCTTGCATTTTGATTTCGTCGTAGACAAAGCAGCAGCAACGGAATAAAATGGAGGCAAAGTGACTCTTGAGTGGGTTTGGATTGCAGTTCGCAGAGAGCCGACATGCTGACTCACCAACCAACACAACCCACATTCGAAAGGGCATCATTTCAGACGTGCCGTGAAGCGATTGAAGGCTTGGGGTTTCTCTACATTTTCACCTGCCTCCCCTTCTCCTCCATGTTTTTTCTCAAATCGGCTCCAATATCCGTCACGTCCCATCTCTGTCGCTGTCTCTCTGTTAACATACCGGACCACCTGTAAACCAACGGATTCCAATTTCATCTTCTCTCTCTGATTCTCTGTAGGCATGGGGTTTCTTTACATTTTCATCCGCCTCTGCTTCTCCTTCGTGTTTTTTTCTCAAACCGACTCCATTACCTATCACGGATTCACCACCTTTGTCTCTCTGTTACCCCTACTAGATCACCTGTTAACCAACTGATTCCAGTTCCATCTTTTCTCTGCTTCTTTGTAGTTTCGTTTCGCCTGTACTTGGTTGGGGGTTAGCATGGGAGACCAGCATGGGCTTTTTTTTTTCATGTCTTTTCTTGTTAGTAGACTATTTTATTGTTTTTTCTTGGTGAGTTTTGGTGCAGGTGTCAAGTGCCACAACCACCTTTTCTATGACATTCTCTTCATCTATGTTTATTGTAGAATATTACCTTCTGAAGCGTTTCTCTCGATATGATAAGTAAAACCACTGTAGTCTCTATCATTATTCTTGATTCTGTTCTGCCCCTTTTTGAAGGTCGAGAACAGTTCTTGACCCCAAAAATAAAGAGAGAAAAATATGTATTCGGGTGTACATATGATGAAGTATTTAATTTACTATTTATATTCTATTTTTGAATCCTTTTGGGCAGCTCTCTACTTTGTTGTTGTGGCAACCGTTGCTGCCTTTATAGGGCAACATGTAGTGAGGAGGCTTATCATTGTATTAGGGGGGGGCATCCCTCATCATCTTCATCCTCTCCATCACAATCTTTGTCACTGCAATCTCACTAGGTGAGTATCATTTGCGAAAAAGTGGTTTTAAGTATTAACATCTTCATTTGTATGCAATAATGGATTGTGGGGCAGAAGTGGAAAATGAGAATTGACTACTCCCTTCCCAAGTTATTATTACCATCCATTATAGTGATAGATAAAAACATGACTAATAGTAATAATCTGTTATTCTCTATGATTTAGAGCTGAGTGGTGAAGGAGATTTTTCAACTCCTTTTCCACCACATATTTCTGCTTTTGCTCTAATGCAAACACAGCTTAACTGAAAGACCAAACAAACTATTCTTCTACATTCACCCTCAAAAAAATTGAGCTTCTTTAGTACTTAAGGCTCTTTATTTTATTTAACAGGTAGAGTTGGTATATCAAATATGATTTATAAGATCGAGAAGAATGAGTACATGGGTTTTGAGAACCTCTGCAAGTATGATGCTTTATTTTATTTTATTTTCTTCACCTCTCTTTCTTGTTCTAAGTTATGCTCATCAGGCACAAGTTGAACCTCATTCTTTTGTATCAATTTTTCAATTGCTAGGACGAAAACAATATATATATATGATGATTCCATAGTATATTTAAGCTCAAATAGCCTTGTTCGTTATTTAATTTAATCTTGCATTACTAGTTGGAATTCTGGAACTCCCATATATAAACTGTTTGATCATTAATAGTAAAATTTTCATTGACTCTAGACATAAAATATATAATTGGATGGAGAGATCAGCCTACATGATGGATTGATTGATCAGACTTGGTACCATAAGTTGTCTTCTCTTGTAAAAGAAGCAACTAAATACACAATTTCAATCTCAGAGATGCACATGCACTTACTTGGCTGGTTGGACTTGAAGTGATAATGGCTGAAGCAGTTTGTGATGGGAGCACTTTTATCTTTCCTTTTCTGAGAACCAAATAAGAACAATTTGGTTATTTTTATCATTTTACTAAGACTATTAATTTTACACAATTGTTTCTTTTTTGAATAGGTTTGATATTGCAAAAATCTTAGCAAACTTGTGATTCATTTTATGGCTTTGTTTAAACCTTTAAAAATGTGGGAAAATACAAGGTTGTTAATTTTAATAAATTCTTAGTTACTAAATAACACTAATTAAAAATTTGAAACATTTGAAATTTGATATTTACATGGTTGGATCAATTATCAATCCCATTTAAGATAATCAACCACTTATCAACTTTAACTTGTTCTTACAGCTTTCTTCAAGTACAATTGTCATCTCCCTCGATTCCTTCAAGGGTCCATGTTGACTCTTCTATTGAATAAATTATTTTCTTTCTTTTTCCATCAGAGATATCATCTAAGAACATATTTTTTCTTTTGCAGGTTACCATCAAACCCCAATCTCCCCGTGTCTAACCTGTGATACATGGTATCTTCCTTTTATTTGATCCATTTTGTAGGAATTTTAAGATCTCAACTCTTCATCGTACTTCTTTTTTGTTTGTTCTGGTTTTTTCGAACATGCATAATCCGTTTTTCAGGTATTTTATGATCTAGCTTTGCCAAATGGTTTCAGTTCTCTGCTTGGGTTTCTAATCCAGCCCCTGCGAAGTAGGGGCCCCCTCAATCTAATGCCTTCTCAGCGTTTAGGAAATGGGATCCTCGCGTGTGAGGCCATGTGAAACTTTGAATGGGTATGTAGTACGTGTGAGAGGGATACAAGAGAAAATAGAGGTAAGGTTGATTGTATATTTAGACAATGAGTTTCCACGTGTCAAATTGGACGATAATACATGATCTTATATATATACTAAAACCAAAAGGGCATATGGACGATGCCCGAGCATTCAAAAAATGGAATCTAACGCCTTCTCACCATTTAGGAAATGGGCTTCCAGTTGGAAGATCACCTTACACTAGTCGTGTAGCGAGCCGAACCAAGTTGCAAGACAAATGATCAAAGAACCTGGGGTTGTTGACTTGGCGAGGTCGCTCCGATGCTTAAGTCAGTATTGTATTCTGGTTGTGAGTTGAAAGCTTGAACGCTAGAATGCTAGTGAGCAAGTAATCGTGCGTACTTGAGTCTTGGGGGTTGATGCCCTTGTATAGCTGGGCGGCCGTAGGTCTCGTGAAACGCTCCCAGAATCTTTGTCCTGTGACGTAGGAATCCATTATGCTTTGGAAGGGGGGTAACGCATCAATTAATAATGTTTACCATTTCCCTCCGATTTGGGTGGGGTAAAGTTGAAGCCTACAGTTATGCAACATGATCCCGAGAAGTTTGGAGACGATTGTCGCTCCTAACTTCAGTTACATGGCACCTCGGTGCAAGTGGGTACCGAGGTGCTTCAGGTCCGAAGTGGCCGAGCTCTCATGTTCCCGATCTATTGACGTGGTACTATATGCTGATTTGTCATTTGGTTGGTAAGCTATCCTTTACATATTAGGTCGGGCCAAATCACTCCTCATCAATTGTCTTTCACTCTCCGTACTAGGGGTCCTGACCCGGTGCGGGGACTTCATGGCGAGCCCATGTGGATTTTGCACGACTTCTAGGCGATTTGGAGGGCAGCTCTTCGATCGTACCTTAATGACCCATTTGGCTCGACTAGGGAATACCCAGATCGCGTACCGAGTATGCGCAAACACCATGCAATTTATAAACTCTACAGACGTCTAGACGTGTGTTTAACCAATTTCATTCTCGGGAGGCGTGTAACCAGTTTTCATGGGAGCCATCGGATCATGCAGATCTTGACCGTTGAGTCCCGATCGCGATGGTTATAAATAAGGGGGGGGCCCATTTTTTTCGCCACATACTACATACTCGAGTCTGTTGAAGTCGCGTTTCATTCTTCCAGGTTGGTGTTAGTTGCCCTTGCATCCGAGGTCTTTTCACTTCCTTCAGCTTTTCCTCTTAGCTCAGAATGTCTAGTGTTAGCTTAGGTAGACTTTTTTATGGGAGTGAAGAGTCAATCGGGGCCGAGGTGGGCACCTCGACGTAAGCTGTAAAGTCACACCCTGCCGAGGTGAATGCCTTAGTGTAGGGCACAGACTCCAACCTGTCCGAGGCGAACTCATCTCGGCAGGAGTGTGAGGCTTTCGGCAAGGGGGCCTCCACTTTGCGTTGAGATCGAGGACCATACAGCTTTGGTCCTTCCATGATGACAGCTGACAGACTCCTATCTTTGGTAGCTCGGTACAAGCTGCTTGTTAACCTTGTATACAACATTCCATTAAATAGTTTTCCTTGGGATCACGGTCATGACGAGATCGTGGTGTTCGAAGAATAGCTTGTAGCCGGGTTGCGATTCCCACTTTACCCTTTCATCATCGATGTCAACAAATTTTTTGACATCGCAACAAATTAGCTCCATCCCAACTCGATCCACAACATTGTAGGTACTATTTCCCTTTTCCACGATTATAACCAACCTTTGACCCTGACATTTTTTCTTCGATTTACACCATCAAAAAGAACAACGCTTGTGTCCTCCGGGAGCATAGACGAAATTACTAGATGTCTCCTTGTCCTGGTTACAAAATTTTGTACGACCTCCCCAACAAAGTCCTGGCCTGGAAGAGGCGCTATTTCGTAGTTCGTAATACTGTGGGGTGGTCATTTCCAACCCGTTGGAGGCCTGCCATTCAGGACCCTGACATCAAGTTGGACAAAGAGACACAGGAGGAAGTTTGGTCTTGGGCGAAGCTCGGGTTGAAGTTCAAAAAATTCATGTTCGAAGAGAAGCTCGTACAAGTCGGACTGAGTCCTCCTGGCAGGTTGCCATCTTAATGCTATTAGATAGTGTATGCCCTTAGCTCTAATCAGCTTGATGTACATTATGACACTTATTGTAAATGAATAAAGTACATGTTTGATTCATGTTATATTGATGTGTTTTTGTGTAATATCCTTACACTGGACACTTATGAGACTCGTGTTAGTTTACAATCTTCACAGCCGTTGGATAGATCTGGGGGATTTAGTCTTCCAAGGCTGACATTGATGTGCCGCTAAGTTGATTGGAGTGGTTTGTCTAAGCTGTCAGTGTGAAACCTGATGTATATGTAGTGTGGGTTTGTTTGAAACCCTGAATCGGACCAAATTCTAGTATTGCCCTGGACCTTGGAGATAGATGGGCAAAACTGGAATGCTACACCTGACCCCTAGACTTGATTATGGTAGTGCAATAGGTGTTGGATTATGTTGCCTTTGATATGCCAATCAACGAGATCCTTAGAAGGGGTTGAAACTTGGGTATGTTGGAGCAGTCTAAGAATTCACTTGAGTAGGTGATCATAGTGACAGGATCAACCCCTTTGTCGAACAAAGTGAATGATTGGGGAATGCACTCTCTGATGGAAACATAAACTGCCGGCAGTTGATTTTAAACTTATTGAAATTTGTTTTGCAAAATATATTTATATAGAGATATACATATATATTACGATTTCACAAAATGTTTGCAAAATGTTTTAATTTCTGGGATCCATGTGTGTAGAGAGTGCAATACTGTATATTGCAGCTGAGGGAGAGGTACTCTCTTGTCGGGCAGTATTTGATCATTAAGGGCTAAGAGGTTAAGTGTAAAACCATTTAGGGAAAATAAACCTGATGGGCTAATCTCACATTTGCCCACAATCCTTGAGCTTTCATAAGATGGTTGGACCTAATGACCATTTTGTGTAAATGTTGGGATATTAAGAGCCGATACTGATGGACTCAGGGGTTCATTGTATTCAGCAGTGAATTCAGCCAAGCCTTATGACAGACCTAGGCTGAACTCATGTGGCTTATGTGGAAATGAATGATAGGGTCCTACACCATACAAAGAGAGCCAAGCTATTCAGCATTAAAGGAAGTGAGCATGAAACTTTAATGGACCTAAAGCCCAATTCGAATTGGGTTTAATATAATTAATTAAATAAGGGGCGAAACTGGGTATGAATCAACATAATAGGATAGAAGGATAATTGTTATCCACTTAAAGAGTCCATATCCAAATAGAGATTTAGATTAGGAAATTTCTAATTTGATTATGAGTAGGTGATCTTGATTTGTAGATAAGATAAGGAATTATCCTTATCACCTAAAGAGTTCAGATCCAAATAAAGATTTGGATCAAGAAACTCTTAATGAGATTAGGAGATTGACTCTTTAAGGATCATGTATAAAGTGGAGGGCGAACTGGAAAAGACATCTATAGTTTGACTTTTTTCTGCTTCCAGTTCTCTCTCTGCTCTTGTCGCCCCACCCTGTTCAATCTCCATCTCTTGGAGTGATCAAGATTCGATCTTGTTGTTGTTTCTTGGTGGAAGAAACAATTTTGAAGCTATACTCACTACCCTGTTTGATTTTTGTTGTAAAACCACTTGTTGATCCTACTTTACCCTACGCTGTGTCATCTTCAATGGAGGAAGGATTTGGTACCCTCTTTGGGCGTGAACACCTACATTGGGAGGAGTTTTTCACGTGGATTTTGTATAAGGTATTCCTCTCCCTAATCTCAGTTTCAGATTTGGTCCAATTTGTTTCAAGAACGAACCTTAAAAAATGCAATTTTTCTAAATTAGGGAATAGGATTCCCGGATGGGAGAAAAATTTTTTGAAATTTCGCCCAGCCACCCTGTATGGTTCGGCCATCCATATGATGGATCTCCCATCCCTTCAGTGGTACTAGAGCCATGGTTCAAGGTTGAACCAAATCTGGACCAGATCTGAACCTGTGCAAACGGGCAGAAATTGTTCTACCCGATTTGTGCAAGTTTTCTGTTTTTCTAAGAAATCGGTTCTCGGTTATGGGCATGTAGATCTGAAAATAATTCTTTATTATTCTTTAATAATTATGTAATGGTTCTATAATTGTTTCTTGAATTCTTGGGCTATCATGGGATGGAGATCAAATTCTTTAAAGGTGGCAAGATTTGTGCACCTTGCAAATTTTTATTCTATTCATTTTGGCCTGTAAATAATTTTTTTTTTATTTTTAGACAAAATGTATTGGATTTAATATGATGTAATTAATAGAAAAGAGGTTTTTTGTTCTTTTTTTTTTTTACGTTTGAAGACTTGCTAGAACGCGTGGAGGAAGAGAAGACCTTTTGTAGTTTAAGAAATTGCATTATGCGATTTGTAGATAATGATTTCACTATCTGTGACTAATCCTATGTTTTGCAGGTGTGAAATTATACGTACAATCCATTGGTCTTTGTTCTTGCTGATTCTTGATTGTCTTTAATCGGTTGTAATTCCGATCACAATCTTGAATTGGATCTTGCAATGGACACCAAACCCTAGGACGGTTTGACCCAAGATTGGTCCAAATTGGTTGGACCGAACTTGTGGTTCAATAGGGGTTTGTTCTTAGCCCCAAATTCTGATTTGGGCCGGGGGTTGATGGCCTATCACAAGATACAATTTGGCCCACCCTGTAAAACCTAGTTTTGTTGAGTTAAAACTGCATTAGCCCATTTTTAGCGTAATTGCTAAATGGGCCGAACTGCCTTTTGTATTTCAGCCCATATACCTAGATAATGTTATATGATAATATTTATGGGCTTTAATGGGCTAATATTGATTTAATTTAATTAATTTAGGGTTTTACAAATGATTTAATTGATTGGATCAATTAGGTGTTTGCTTCATGCATGTAATGTATGATGTGTGATGTGCTACGTACATGGACCATAAGCACTTGGCCCATGTTAATTTGATTGTGACTCTTTCGCACATCATGTTTGAATGCACATCATTGTCTTGGTGTCCTTAAGATCATTGAATGATCTCAGCTTCCTCTCCAAGAGGAATCGTGTAGAACCCTAGTTGTTTAGGGCCCATCTAAATCTGACTTTAAGAAAGTTAATGGGAGCCACTTTGGTTTGACTTGAATAAGAAATATGACGTAATTACTTGTTCCCTCTAAGAAAATATAAGTGCATGTGATAGGAAGATTCATATGATGAACTTTTTAAAGGCCTTCCATCATTAGCATAAAGATGGACTTATCAGTAATGAGGAGATGCACCATAAAATTGGGTCATCCATTTGTTGGTGAGTCTATTGGATTGTTTCATAAGATGATGGAGGCGTCATAGACCGATGTGAAAGGGGTCTATCCTAAAATGGAAGACTCTTTCACGATATCTTGGCATTCACGAATATGATGGGTAAGCACTTACTGGACAGAAATGTTTAACCTAAAATGACAATGAACATTGTCTGACAGAGGTCAAAGAGAAAGCTTATAAGATGAGTGGATATGATCATTCAAAGAAGGCGATGGGGTTATGCGGCTGAAACAGTTAGCTCCATGCAATTTGTAATTTTCCACATTTCTAGAGACATACATCGTAGTCTCCGTCCTTGAGATTGGAGGGAAATCTCGGAGATGAACAAAATGGAAATGGAACATAAATTAAAAGTCATTTCTATGTAGATAACATGAATCAAATCAGGTTGTTGACTAATAAAACCTTGCCTTTTATTAGAAATGGCAAATGGACAATTCGCCAAACTGTTGGACGACAATAAGTTTAAGGGCCTAAACTATGTTGACTGGTTTCGTAATCTTATGCTGGTTTTAATGTCCGATAAATTGAACAAGGTTGCTAAGAACTCTTCTTCAGATCGTCCGGGTGATAGGGCTTCTAAGCCCATAGGAAGGAATATCAAGAATGGAAAGAGAAGAACTCTCTTGCCCGGTGCTACATCATAGGCTTTATCAACAGAAGGTTCTAGATAGTTTGAGGACGATGTATGAAGACTAATCGTTCTACTCTACAGAAGGTCCTAAAGTTGTTTATAACCGCTAAAATGACTAAGAGGTAGATGATTCATGACCATTGTCTAAAGATGATGGGATACATCAATGAACTAGAGGCACTCGGGTCAGGGTTTGATCATGTCACCAAAGTTAATACCATGTTAAATTCTTTTCCTCCGTCCTTTAATCAGTTTATCATGAATTATAACATGAATAAGCAAAATGTTAGTCTTTATGAACTCCACAATATGTTGTAAAGGGCTGAAGAACTGATAAAAAAGGATAAGTCCATACTCATGTTTATTGAAAGTGGCAAGTCGGGCAAGAAGAAGAGGAAGGCAAAGAAAAATCCTTAGAAAAAGTTAGCAATCCTAAAAGGCAAAAGAAGGACAACACATCGGATGCCTATCACTTTTGCAAACAGACCGACCTTTGGAATAGAAATTGTCCTCAGTACTTGGAGACCAAGAAACAAGATAATTTCAAATCTTTTGTCATAGAGACTAATTTGTTGGTCACTTCTACTTCCTTGTGTATTGACTCCGCGGCTTCAACTCATGCAATATATTAGTTTTCAGAGAAGTTACGCTCTACTTGGGGACTTCTATAATAGTTGCAGCTACAATTATAGGAACTATAGAATTAGTTTTCAGAGAAGGAATCGTTGTACTTAAGGAATGCCTTTATGTACCGAACTTAAGAAGAAATTTTATTTTTGTCTCAAAGTTGTATTTGGATGGTTATTCTATTTTATTTAATAATATGATTACTATCAAACGGAATAACAAATTTCTCACTTACGGAGAACTCGAGAATGGTCGATATGTTCCCCATCCTTCTCTAGAAACAAGCTTAACTGAAACTACATCGGAAATAATCCCCAAGAATAGAACACGTGAAATAGTTAATTTCATGTGCTTGTGGAATTATCGACTTTGCCACATTAACATAGATTGTATCACAATGTTGGTAAAGGATGGTCCTTTGGATTTTCTAACTGTAGAAGATCTTTCAACCTGTGAAACTTGCTTTTAGGGTAAGATGACGAAATTG